TCACAACCGGAGGGCAGGGTCGGACTCAAAGCCTAGGCCCTGGCCCACAAGTGCTGACACCCTATTTTATGGGCGACAGAACAGAGGCCAAGGCCCTGATGTCCCTCCTTCTCCCCATAAGGTGTTTTGGGGCAAGGCCCCCCTCTGAGTTTCAGCTTCCTCCTCCACACAGAGAAAGCATCCCACCTGCCTCAGGTGTGGGAAGTGCCCTGCACCCGGCCATGGGCAGGCAGATCGGGGCCTGCCCTGCTGGCGTGGCTCCTCTGTTCCTCCTGAGGGTAGGAGGTCCATTCGTGATCTTCTGAGTGACCACTGCCACACCTGCCTCATGAGCCAGGGGTTTCCGACCTGAGGTGGCATCTGTCAGGATGAACAATTCACTCAGCTCCAGCACCCCCAGCCTGGCCGCACTAGATTTCCACAGGTGGCCCTGGACACCCAGGCTGAGAACCAGAAACAGCGCTTGTTGGGGACAGACTCCCATGTCCACTCACGGCCTTGCTACCACCCCCACAAGTCAGGTTGAAGGTTCCATTGCTCCTCTACCCCAGCCACCTGTGGGCCGTCCTATCTCCTTTATCTTTTTGAAGAAACGCAGAATTCCACACACGTTGTCCTACGACCTTTTTATTGACTACATACAACATCCAGTCCGATAAACTAACGTCAGCACCAAACAGCGACCTCAGACTTCTGACCAGCTGTGGAGTATCTGCGGCCTGCAAACCATAACCTACTGCCCTGTCCCCTCCTGATGGACGTGGACTTGTTTCAGGCTGCGAGTTTATATAAAATTCTAAACCATAAACGTGCCGTGCCTCCCGCCTCAGACCTCAATCCCGTCACTGACTACCCCACAATCAACATTACAGACTTAACATCAAAAATACACTATTCAGACATGGCTCTTCGCTGTTTCTCAATTTTGAGGTTCTACCCTGAATTTCATCTGAGGATAGAGGCTGTGGGGCCAGGTAACCCCTGGAAGTGTGGGGACTCCAGCCTCCAGGGAAGGGTGTAATGGGGACCTCACAGGACAGGTCCAGTCAGGAAAGGGAGGGGGCTGCTTCTTAAATCCCTCTGTGCTTTGAAAGAAACAGCGGAAAAGGTTTGGAAAGAGCCACGGTGTCCCCCTGGGGAATGCCCAGTGAGAAGGCGCTGGTCTGTTCACACACGAGCGGACCTGTTGACAAGAACGGAGCCACCCACGGCTCCCGCAGTCCCAACTGCAGGTGTCTGAGGACAGAGCCAGGGCAGCGAGCTCCGTCTGAGGCCCTCCGCCACCCCTCCCTGCTATGAACACAGCGTCCCCACAGTATGTGGCAGCAACGTGGCCGGGCTTTCTCCACAAACCCCATGTCCAAGGTCCAAGCTGAGTCAGGACAGCCCCTCTTGGCCTCAACAAATGCAAACAAACATTCCCCCCAAACGCCTCAGCATCCCCTGCGGCAGGTGCAAGTCACATGTCGGGATGGATGGGGGCAGGTGAGGCTCCTGGCTGGCAGAGGTCCCCGAGCAGCTATGATCATTACTGTCCTCCTGGGGAGCCATGTCCCTAGGGTCAGGCGGTGCCAGGCCAGCCAAGCTTTGAGGTAGGCCGCGAAGTCTGCGGGCTGGCGCACTTCCCTGGCCCAGTTCCTCGCTGCTCCAAGCACTGCCCGGCTTTTCCAGGTTCCCAGGGCTTCTGGTCCACACTGAGGCCCCGCTTAGAAGGACGGGTCTTGGGCAGGGTCCGTGGCACTTGGGCGATTGGGGCCGTCTGGGGTGGGAATTGTTTTATGAGGCGGCCCTGGGCTGAGAACCAGCCTGCTTCCTTCCGCCGGCCCCTAAAAGGCCACCGGCCTGCCCAGCAGATGTGCTTTAGTGGCCTGCGACAGGATGCAGTAAATGCCCACTCGCCTTTCACATGCAGATGCCTCCAGGCCATCCTTTGTGCCGGCCTGCCCCCAGGCCGGCTCCTGCAGCCCCTGCTGTGTCTGGGCCTGCTTCTGAAAGGCTCCCCTCAGGAGCCCAAGAATGGACTCCAATAAAGGGCCTGTTGGGGGGACCCTGGCTGGTTACAGATGTCCCACGACCACGCCCACCCCAAGGCCCAGAGCAGTAAGAGGGGGCGGCCTGGCCAGCACTGTCCCAGCAGCCCTGGTGGAGGAGGGTCCACTCAGTGTCCTCAGATGCCGGGGTATCCTATTTTCTCATAGGGAAGGCTCCTGGCCCAGCTGGCTCCTCATCTCCCTGCCGCTCAGCCTACACCTGATGCCAGTTTTCTGGGTGCTGTTAACCCTGCTCTCCCCATACCAGACCCTCAGCTTCACAAGGGCAGGGAGGTCCCCCTGCCCTGTCACTGTCGCGTGTCTCAAAGCCTATGGCAGTGTTTGCAGGTACTGAAATACTCAGTATTCTCTGGGTGTGTGAGTAAAACAAGAGGCTATTGTGCTATTGTGGGGCAAACTGGGAGAAGGGGATGCAGGCGGAAGGCCTGGCCACCTTTCCTTGAAAAGGGGATGTCACCCCTGGATCAAAGCTAGTTATGAAGGTCACAGGTGCGGTGTGGCACCTACCTGGGACACGCCAGGCCTCTGCGGAAGGTGACTGTCATTAAGGTGGCCAATATTGTTTTAAAAATCAGGATACCCTTCAAGAGGATGAGAAGCAGAACACCGACACATACTATCCATAGCGTGAAAGGTCAAAAACATCACGCTACGTAAAAGGAGTTAGCTGCAACACTGCGTACTGTGTGACTCCATTTAAATGAAATGTCCAGAAAAGGGAACTCGAGATAGGCGTGTTTGTAGAGGCAGGGGGTCACGGGAAATCTCTGTCCCGTCCACACAATTCCGCTGTGAAGCTGCATCTGCTCTAAAACATAAAGTCTAATTCTTAAAAAGAAAGAAAAATAAAAAATGAAAGGCAGAGTTTATACTTTGTTTTCTGACTCCCCCAAAAGGTGGGGAATTTTCAGAAAATCTGAGCACACCTGACATTGCAGGAAGTCCAGGAAGAAAAGGGGTGTATAGTGAGTTGCCCCATCCCCCTCTGGGGTTCCTAGGAGGGACCCTGTGGAGCTAGGAGGCTGCCTCAGGCTGGTCCCTGGCAGGCTTCTCCCGCCCCGGAACTTCCTGGAAGGCTCTTGCTGGACTTCAAAGCCAGCCAAGCCTGCATATCACAGAGCAGGCCGCAAAGAGGCCTCACCCAGGTGGCCGCAGAAACTACAAAAGCAGCCCAGCGCCCAGCACCCTGGCAAGCAGGGCCAGTTCTGAAGAACTGTCCAGGCCATTCCTGGCTCAGCCACCACAGAGGGAAATGGCGGAATCCCTTGTGCTTAAAACATTTCTTTGGAAAACTCCAGAAGCGGGCATGTTTGACTGGGGGCACGTTTCCCATGTTTCTACACTCACTGCCACCCAGGGTCTGGAAGCTGAGCTCCCTACAGGCAGGAGACCCCCAGGGAGGAGGGCACTGATGGGCAGCCTTGAACTGGAGGGGTCCGTGGGCCTGTGGGGGCCAGGCCTGTGTAGAGGGCCCTTGTCTTTAAAAAGCAGGCAGAAAAGCTGAAGAGAGAAAAGGACTGTCAACCCAGAGCCAGAGGGCACCTCAACATGGGCAGTCCAAGCTCTGTGGGCATTGAATAAGGGGTGCTGGTTCCTGGGCTGCTAGGGGCTCGGTGAATGAAAACCCCACAGGGATATCTGGGTAGTTGGATGCAAGGAGGGATAAAATCCAGATACCTCTCCATGACTCTTAAGTCCCTGCCAGCTACAGCCACACTCCCCACTATGCCTTGCTCTTAGTTCCCTGAACTCTGGCCAACCTCTCCTCAGGTCTTTCCAGCTGCTGTTCCCTCCACCTGGAATGCATGTCCTCTGCCCCTTCATGTTGATGATCCTTCTTGCCCTCTGGTCCTGCCCAGCTCCTTCTCAGCACAGTCCTCAGAGCTCTCTCTAGCACAGGCCACCCTCACCCTGTCACCCAGAATCTGCTTTCTTCATGTCACTTATGCCACCCTGCGGTGACTTACCCTCTGTGTCCAGGTTTACTTCCAACTCCCCTCCAGATGTGAGCCCCATGAGGCCATGTCTGCCTCAGTCACAGCCCCTGGGGCTCTGGCCTCCTGCTCCCCCATACTTAGCCATCTTCACCTCAAAACACAGCTCAGAGCCCTCTATTCCACCCACTTAATGCACTGGACTCTAACAGAGCTAAAGCCTAAGGTAACAGAGACTAAAGCAGAAGCCAGGCAGGCGCTGATGTGAGTTCCTGGCCTCCGAACACCTGTTTTGCTCTGCAGAACCACCAGACTGGTGTACAGATGGGTGGGGTGGCGTCTCTAGAAGGACCCAGGAGATCATTTAACTGCTGTCCACAGCTGGAGAAACTGAGGCCCACTGAGGGGAGGCCACCAAGCCGGGGTCCCCCAGGCAGTGACTCTGGACCAAATCTTGTACAATGAGCCCTTCCAGCTGACTCTCAACATCATGGGAGCCCTGGCCGGCGATGCCAACGGTGATGGCACAGCCCTCGGGCCAGTGGTGCCAACCACCGTCCTGGCAGCGTCCTGTTTACAAGACTTGGTGTGCAAGTCGCCCTGCCCTCCAGCCCAAGACAGCCCAACGGATGATGACGACGCCAGCCACACGTCAGGTAAACGTGCTGGTAACCGCATTGAAAGTCCAACAGGTGTGAGGATTCCTTTAATACACTTTATTTAAGCTAACGTATTCAAGTCGTTATCAATGCAACAGGTAATCAATATCTAACACTGTAATCACGCATTTCACATGTTTCTCACTCGGGCTTGTAACCCAGCGTGGATCTGACACTCAGAGCACCTCTCCGCTCCCCCCGGCCGCACGGCGCAGCTCTGCCCGGCAGGGCCAGCGCCCGCCCCCGGCACCCCGGCACCCCGGCCCCGCAGGGGCTCCCCCCCTCCCCGGGCGGGCGCGGGCTCCGGGCGGGCGGGCGGGGGCGGGGCCGGGCGGCGGCCCGCGAGGCCCACTCACCTCGCCACCGCCTCCACCGAGCCGGCGATCGGCGTGCCGCCGTCCGCGCCGCCGTCGTACAGCACGCCCGAGATGTCGAGCAGCACCCCGCGCACGCCCGCCAGCCGCTCGCCCCAGGCGGCCATGGAGCCCCGCGGTGCGGCGCGCGCCGTCGCGCTGACCCCGCGTCCCGTCCCGGCGGCGCCCGCGCGCCCGCAGGGGTGCCTGGGAAATGTAGTCCGAGGGGCGGGGTCGGCGGGGAGGGGCGGGGCGCTCATCTGGGGGGCTGGACTCTGGGCGCTGCCTCCGCGGTGGGTCAGGCGCCTCTAAAGTGGGAGCTTCGTCTCCACGGGGCAAAAGGTAGAAAAAACAAAATGCCAGCTCCCAAGAAAGGAAGTCCAAGAAAGGATGCCTCAAAATCAGAGGCATCAGGGCCTCCCTGGTGGCCAAGGGGTTGAGAGGCAACTTATGAAGCTAACCCGGCCAGGGAGCTACCCTCATGGCGCGGCAGACCTCTCCTGACTCGCCCGCTGCTCCCCTCAGCAGAGTATTTCAGTTGACCTGCCTGTTCTGTTCCCCACTCTGTCTCTGGTGAATCTCCTCTCTCTCTCTCTCTCTCTCTCTCTCTCTCTCACACACACACACACACACACACACACACACACACACCCCACCTTTGGCCCGTACCCCAGCTCTTGTATGCATAAAAATAAAATAAATCTTAAAAAAAAAATCAGAGGCATCAGTAAAAGTAGCAAAAATTAAAGAGAACAGGCAACACCAGCACTTCGCTGCTGTCCTTAAGCTTTGTCCTCCTGTTATAGGACAGGGAGAGGGGCAGCCCAAGCCCCGCAAACCTGCCTATTTTAAATGGGTTCTGCCATTCGCCGCATTAACACAAAACATAGGAGACTTTAATGGGAAGGAACTTTAATAAAACTAGGAAACAATACAGGTAAGGCAAAGAGTCTAGTTTTTAAATGAAGCACCCAAAGTTACCCGTCCCCTCGTGGGTAAAACTCCATCCATATGGGGTCGGCCCAGAGCAAGGCCCCAAAGCCTGCCACAAGTCTAAAGCATCTTCCAGTGGGGACCCACAGAAAAGGGTCACAAACAACCAGACAAGCCCGGAAGGAAAAGAGCAAAATCAACATTAAGATAAAAGCTGCCATGGTCACCTCCCCACGGGTCTCACCCACATCTGTGTCACCCAGTCCACGACCAAAAGACAAGCGCAGTTTCTTCACGCGTCTCTAGGCTCCATGCGCCTCCTCCAGGTCTCCTGGCTCCATCCTGCTTCCTTCCTTCCTCAGTCTCTTCTGCAGCTTTTCCTCTTCCTGCTCAGCTCCACCCTCCCTTGGGTGGGGCAGGGAACCTGGAACCTCCCCCTTTCCTGGGGACCACCCTGTTACACTCCCAGGACCTGGACAACCCTAACAGTAAGGGGCATGGTTGGAAGCATAGCCAGAGAGTCCCGGCCTGGAATGCGATGCTAAGGAAATGATTCCCAAGGCCCAGGACTGTGAGTGTGGTGTAAACTGTGATGTCAAACAAGCTGAGAGAAAAGTGTGTGTTCAGGGACCCAACTTAGAGAAATTCTGAAGTGGCTATTGAGAAAAATATTACAATATCCAAAATGAAGAGTAGGTCACAACTTGGAGAATGCTTGAAGTAAATATTATATGAAAAGGTCAAATACAAAATTGTGTGTGGACGGCAGCCCTGCAAAAATAATGAGGCACAGGAATAGGATCAGGACGAAAATGGGGATGTCACAAACGATGTGCTGGACTTAGTGAGATGTGGGATGAATGTTTTTTCGTCAGATGTTCTTAACAGAGCAAGTCAAGTAATTATCAGCACAATTTAATCCCTAGAAGAATCAGTTCTCACTACATATCAATGAAAAAACATGATGGCTCACATGGCTGTTCTGTATGCGGGACATCTGGGTGCAGAAAGGGTAAGTTATGACCTCTATTCTCACATCAAGACCGGGAAGAATAAGACACACACCTTTGGGAATGCTGAACAAATGTGAGCCTCCTCCCACAAGTGATAAAGATGGTGATAAAGATGCAGCCCCAGGGCTGTGGGCTCTGTGGGCGGGGAAGGCAGCCCTGGCTCCTGAGTAGAGGGGCCGCCTGAAGTGGACCTTGAAGAATGGCCAGGCTTTTGCTTTGTAAGGAGGAAGAAAAAGGACAGCCTGCCAGAGGCGTGAGCAGTGCCAAATTCTCCCTTTGCCCTCCCTGCCGTCTCTAAGGCCGTGGTAGACAGAATAATGGCCCCTTGGAGAAACCCAAGTCCCGATCCCCAGAGCCTTTGGATCTATGATCTGGCAGGCGAAAGGGTCTTTAGCTAAGGATCTTGAAATGGGAAGATTCTCTTGGATGATGCAAATGGGCTTAACATAATCATGAGTCCTTTTTTTTTTTTAAGATGTATTTATTTATGCATACAAGAGCTAGGGTACAGGCCAGAGGTGTGGGAGGGGGTGTGAGAGAATTCACCAGAGACAGAGTGGGGAGCAGCACAGGCAGACTGACTGAAAACACTGCTGAGGAGAGCAGCGGGCGAGTCAGGAGAGGTCTGCTGCACCATGTGGGTAGCAACCTGGCTGGGGATTGAACTTTTGCTGCAGTGGCTGCAGACAGCTTCATAGATTGTGTCTTAACCCCTTGCATCCCCAGGGAGGCCCAACCATGAGTCCTTTTAAGGGGAAGGAGACTCAGTCAGAGAAGGAGACATGACAGCAGAAGTCAAGGCAAGAGTGGCTTGAAAATGCTCCGTTGCTGCTTGAATTGGACAGGGCCAGAGCTGGAGCCAGGACTGCAGGTGGCCTCTAGAAACTAGAAAAGGCAAAGGAAGGGATTCTCCCCAGGAGCCTCCAGAATGAATGCAGTCCTGCCAACACCTTAATTTGTGGACTTCTCCCCACTACAACTATATATAATAAATTTGTGTTGTTTTAAGCCACTCAATTTGCAGTCCTTTGTTACTGAAGCCACAGGAAATGAAGACAGGGAGCCAGATCCCTCAAGGGACAAATGATGTGTTGGTCCAAGTGGACTCACAGCCTTTCTTTGGATGTAATGGGCAAAGGGCATTGTAGAAGGTAGGGATGCCTTTGGCTGCATGTAACAGAAACCCAAGTATAATCGCTCACCAAACAGAGTTACAGGTTTTCATTGATCAAAAAGCCAAAAGGAAACAGCCGTGGGCGAGAACCACAGCTCTCGGGGACCTCAGGTAATAGGCTCCCTCCCTCATTCCCTTCCATTAACCTTGTCATGTGGCTTTCACCCTCATGCTCTCGAGATGCCTGCTGCAGCCCCAGACATCACATCTCAAATTTAGGCAAGAAGAAGGGGAAGGAAAAGGGCACTTGATGACTGAGTCTTGCCCTTTATACCAGGAAAACAAGTGTCCCCCAACCTGGTCTTGTTGACTCCTATTTATGTCTTTGGGGCCAGAGTGAGGCAGGTGGCACTCATTGCTGCCTGTTGTGTTTCCAATAACAAATTGATAAATTATGTATTTCAACTCAAATGTGAATCCATTCAACCCTCTATTGCTATAGATCCTGTGTGTATAATCCTTCCAGATTTGCTTGTATTTACTAGAACTCTTTGCTTGCCAGGGACAGAAACCCAATTTCAAGGGCTTACATTTATTTTTAAGATTTATTTATTTGTGCATACAAGAGCTGGGGTGTAGGCCAGAGGTGTAGGGGGTGGGATATGTGTGTGAGAGGATTCACCAGAGACAGCGGGGAGCAGAACAGGCAGATCCACTGAAATACACTGCTGAGGGGAGCAGCAGGAGAGACTGGAGAGGTCTGCTGTGCCGTGTGGGTCACGAACTCGTGCTGCAATGGCTAGCAATAGCTTGATAGGCACCAAAATAAATAAATCTTCTTTAAAAAATCTAGAACCAAGTTTCTCAAAATTTAAGGTGCTTGCAAAGAACCTGGGGGACCTTACTAAAGTGCATATTCTGATTCAGTAGGTCTGGGGCACAACTTGAAATACTGCATTTCTCTCAAGTCCTCAGGTGCCAATGCAGCTGGTGCCCAGACCACGCTTCCAAAACAGCAGTCTGGATTCTAGCCTTGAAAATGCCCTCTCATGCCCCCGGCAGCTATAACCTACGGTCCTGAGATGGGCTGGTTTTTTCCCTGAAGAGAGATGACTTTGCAGAGAAGGACAGTGTGTTCTAGACCCAGCCCACATGTTTGTATTGGTTAACAGAAGTGCTGATTGTCCAGGTTATAAATTATGCTCACCATTTGCTTCTTCCTGTCACTGCTTGGCAGGGTCTCCTCACCGACAGTTGAGGTCCAAGCTGTCTGCGCAAGTGCTTTTGAGCAACATGGGCAAAGGTTTGTGGGAGGGGACACTTTCCTGGAATCTCCATCTTTCTCTGGCCTCTGGCTGTGGAGCCTCCTGTTCCCTGTTTGTGCAAAATGCAGGGACTTAGTGGCTTTGAATAAGCATGTGGAATTATTAGGATCTGCTGTCAGGGAGCTCACTGACAGGAGCTACCTCTTATTGAAGAGACTGTGGTGGACAAAGGCGTGGGCAGGGGTGTGGGGAAAGCGGCAAAGAGCCGTTTTTGGAGTCCAGCAACAGGGGGCCCTCCTTGACGGCAGCTAGGCCTGGGTGATCTTAACACAACTTGTAGCTGGGGGGGACTTGGGGGGACAATTAATTTCTTTCCTCCCAGCTTTTCTACTCCTGCATTTTTCTTTTGCAAACAGCATGTTGCCCAGTCTGAGTGGCCTCCTTAAATGCTTAGCCAAGGCGAAAGCCCAAGAAAGAACAGCTACTGTTTTTTTTAAGATTTATTTATTTATGCATACAAGAACGGGGGTACAGACCAGAGGTGTGGGGGGTGAGAGGATTCACAGAGACACAGTGGGAAACAGAACAGGCAGATTGACTGAAATACACTGCTGAGGGGAGCAGCAGGCGAGTCAGGAGAGGTCTGCTGCACCATGTGGGTAACTCCCTGGCGGGGATCGAACTTGTGCTGCAGTGGCTGGGGATAGCTTCATAGGTTGAGTCTTAACCCTTGCACCACTAGGGAGGCCCCAGAACAGCTACTATTGTTAATGCTAATTGTCATCATCAGAGGCAATTAACATGTATTCTGCGCACCAATATAACCCCTAGTGCTTCATCACCTTCTTTGATGCTTCCTCCACATGTCTCAGATAAAGAAATTATTGTTTTAACCTGTTGATTTGCAAGAAGAAAAACTGATTTCTTAAAGCAGAATATGTTGAGTGAACATTTTAATCTGGTGCAGTCCGGGGAAGGGTAGGAAGGCTGGGCCTCCCCTTTGGCGCAGCGGTTGAGCGCTGGGTTGCGAAACTGCCCGCAGCCTCTGCAGCGCCGGTTCGACCCCCGGCTGCTCCCCGGCCACCGGAGGAGGGTCCCACATGGCGCGCAGACCTCTCCTGCCGCCCGCTGCTCCCCTTAGCAGTGTACTTCGGTCCTTCTGCCTGCTCTGCTCCCCGCTCTGGCTCTGGTGAATTCTCTCACCCTCCGGTGCTTCTGACTGTACCCACTGCTTGTATAAATAAATAAATAAGTCTTTAAAAAAAAAAAAAAAAAGTGGGAAGGCTGCGCTTGGAGCTTCCACTTAACAGTCTCAGTCCAAGATGGGGTTTTAAAAGGAACGCTTGTTCTGGTGGCAGTGGGCCAGCAGAGCCTGGCGGGAAATGGCCCCTGCTTGCCTTTAATTGTAAATGAACTCTCAGGCAACAGGAGGGACAGAGTCAAGTAAACATTTAAGGAGGGATTCTGCGGTGGTTTCCTTTTCAAATCCAGTGCCTTCTCACTCCCGTGTTGTAGATGAGCCTGGCTGGAAGACGTAGGTCTGGGGAAAGCTGGCTGAGGCCTTGAGCACTGGACAGTTGACTTCTTGGTCACCAAGCTGTGCCTTATGAAGTTGTCTCTTTGGCATATGCGTGCTTCCCCGTGGTCTGGCTCAAACGGCAGGGTTTTACCTAGAGAATTCCAGTTGTGTTTTATTTCAGGAACAAGATTTTATCTAAGGTGCTTAAATGCAGTTCACACTATTGCTCTCCTCTGCATAAAGGGCAGACGCCCCCGTCATTAGCAGGGAGCCTGGCTGGCTGCAGCGATGCAGGGCTGTGCTGGAATCACAGGCCACTTTGTTTGCAGAATAGCTGGGGAAGCTTGGCACCATTGATTTGCATCAGTGCCTCCAGAATAGCCTTCGCCTTCTCCTTAAAGATACTATCTAAACTGTGAAATTCATTAAATAGCCCCCAGAAATGGATCAGGTTATTTAACACAACATCCCTAATGGCGCAATACCTCAGCTGTCCGCACTGATAGGGAACATTGTCTTGGATAGTGTTATCAGCCCGGGACACCCGCTATGAATATTGATCCCCAGCTTGTTACAGCCATCACTTGCCATCAGGACAGGTCAGGGTTGGAACCCACCTAGCATCAAAGCAATTTAAAGACAGCACTCAGGCAGAATTTTAATGTCCACGCTGAAAAAACAAATCAACTGCACAAGCACAGGGAAGGCGGCTTGCTGGGTATGGATATCCTTGCTTATGGGAATATCTTGGGTATAAATGCACATGTGAGGACACTAGCAAGATACCAGGTTGTCAGATTATACGTACAGCAGGCCTCACCGCCTCCTGGTCCTTTACAAAGCACGTGGCCAGAAAACCAATGCCCAAAGACCCCCCTACCCCACCACCAAATTAAAGAATGTAGCCTGCTCACTGGATTGGGTGGGATGGGGATGGGGCTCAGCTTTAAGTTGGGTGAGTAAAGGGGCATTTTTTTGTGCAGAAGAACTGAGGTGCGGTCCAGAGGTTTGGGAGTGAGTGGATTCACCAGAGACAGAGTGGGGAGCAGAATAGGCAGATACACTGAAATGCACTGCTGAGGGGAGCAGCGGGAGCCAGGAGAGGTCTGCTGCACCCTCTGGGTAGCTCCCTGGCCAGGGATTGAACTCAGGCCAGAGCAGTGATAGGGCTGAGACTCAACTCCTAGGCCACCAGGGAGGTGCTAGAGGGGCATTTCTAGTCCTTCTGTGTTGTCTCAGACAGTGCTTCTTCATTTTCATCAATTTCTAGGAGCCAAGTACAGAGTGCCAGTGTGGCTGCGGGAAGCGCACATAGCAGACACACAGGAAAAGTAAAGGGCAAGACAAATAAAAATAACCGAAAGAAGTTCTTAAAGGGCCACAGTCTTAGAGACCATGGACTTTATGCATTCTTGACTTTTTCTCCAATTTGCTACTTCTCCTTTTCACTGTAACACCCATGGACCTCAAAGAAAAGATGATTTATATCATTTTAAACCAAATATTGGAGGCAATATATAAAGGGAAGGAAAATGACACAGATTTGGGCCACTCTGGGCTGTCATGGCTTTCCCTGTCTCTCTGGGATGGAGAGCAGGAGGGGGGGGCTCTGTGATGCCAGCCCCCTCCCCAGAGAACAGCCTCAGGGTTTATTGCAGAACAGAGAAGACCATGGGAAGCCACAGATCCCCATTCTGGAGCCACCTTAAGGCGATCAATTTCTAGCTACCCCAAAGAACCTAAATAGGAAAAAATATGAACGTGGGTGGAAAAAAGCAAAAGGGGGCTGGGCTTGATTAAAAAAAAAAATTAAGTGAGGACCAGGTGAGAAAAAGTTGTGAAAACAGAGCACCCATGGGCCTCCCTGGGGGCACAGGGGTTAAAGACAGTGTTGTCAAGCTATCACCATGAATTCCACCCCCCCACCCCCGCTGGCCAGGAGCTACCCACATGGCAGATCAGATCTCTCCTGTCTCCCCACCGCTCCCCTCAGCAGGGTACTTCAGTAGAGCTGCCTGTTCTGCTCCCCACTCTGTCTCTGGTGAATCCTCTCACCCCCCACACCTCTGGCCTGTACCCCAGCTCTTGTGCGATTAAATAGATAAATCTTTAAAAAAAAAGAAAAAAGAAAAAAAAACAGCACCCTGGCAGGTCTTAGGAAGGTTCTGTGATTCGCGACCCTGGCTCCTGGGCTCCACTGTTTGGTTGGGGGGCAGGGGGTTTCACAGGGCGGCTTCCCCTCGCTGGGAGGTGGGCCCTGGGCTGGGCAGGGCACTTCCTTTCTTGATTTCCTTTGAAAGCACAATTCATCTTCACTTGAGGACTGGAGCTGCCTTGAATTTCGGCAGAGCTTTAAAGTCCCAGGGAAGACACAGGCGCCTGTGGGAGGGTCCTGAGGTTTGAATGAGAAAAGCGACCGGGACCAGGCCTCGGGGGCCTTCTCCTCAATAACAGATGGGATTAGCGGCCGGCGCTTTGCAGAGGTGTCTCCTCCCCTCGTCCCGCCTCACCTGCTCAGACAATATTAATTGCCAAGTCATTGTTTGGAAACCCCATGGGGCAGCGAAGAAAGGGGCAGCGGAGCTAGAGGTGGTTCTGGGCTGAGGGGAAGCCTCAGAATTTGCCGCCGAGATAAATGTTTAGTTCTCACAGGATCCCCGAGCCGCCAAAGGGAAGAAGCAGCGCTGGGAGGCGGGGCTGGTGGAAGCTTCTCCCAGCCCAGAAGGTCGCCACCCCGAGGGGTTCCTGCAGCCGAGGGGGCCTGATTGAGGCGTCCGCCTTCTCTGACCTTAAATTCAAGTCAGAAGCATTTTCTTTGCGGGGCTGGGAAGGGGATGCGGCCCCCTCAGGCATCTCAGGGGCTGTGAGTGGGTGTCCCCTTGGAGGGGGCCTGGGTCACCCCTCAAAACCGCCTGCTGCTCTCCGACCCAGCTGGGCTCTGGGGTGGAGGTTTCCTGCAGGATTCTCGTCCTCCTTTTCCGAGACCGCGAGGGGCAGAAGAAAACCTGGGTTCGAATCCCGACTCTGTCACGGACAGCTGACCTTGGGCAACTAATTTCTCATCTTTGAACCTCAATTTCTTCTTTAGAATGGGGTGCCAGCGCTGCCAGGCCCCGCCCAGGCACAGGGAGGCTCTGGGATTCAAATGAGGTCGCGCCAGCCCGAGGCTCGGTCACCGTGAAATCCGAGGGGGCCGGGTCAGAGCCCGTCGCGGCGACTCCCTGGTGGCGTGGGGACGTGCCGGGCGTTTCCACCAAGAAATCAGTCCTGGCGTCAATCGCATCCTCAATTCAAAGCTGGGGACCCTGGAGAAAGGGCGCAAACCCAAAGGGAGGGAAAAGGGGTGTGTGTGTGTGAACCCCTAGATGAAGGTCCTCCGACCTTCCCCGTCTCCGGCGTACCCCGAGCCCCCGACCGCTGGGCGGAGGTGCGCGGAGCCAGGGGCGCTGTCCCAGCGGGCGCGCGCCCCCCGCGCCTCCAGACGCCCCCGAGCCGAGCGCGGCCCCCGGGCGCGGCGCGCGTAGTTTCTGGGCTGCCGCGCGCTGCACGTGGCGGGGCTGGGGCCGCGCCAGTGCCAATCCGCGCGCAGCCCCCCGCGGCTCTCCCCCGCCCCCTCCCCAGCTCCACTTGGCCGCCGCGACCCCCCTCGCCTCTGGACAGCTGCGACCAGCCACGGCCGAAGGCGGCGGGAGCGCGGGCTCGGGTCCGCGGGCGCCGGGCATGCTGGCATGGCAGGACGGCGGGGCCAAGGCGGCTCCCGCCCACCACAAGATCTCCTTCTCCGTGCTGGACATCCTGGACCCGCAGAAGTTCACCCGCGCCGCGCTCCCGGGCGCGCGCCCCGCTCCCCCCGAAGCCAAGAAAAGTTTGGCCGAGGCCGAAGAGGGCGAGGACGCCAGCCCCGAGCGCCCGGCCGGCCGGCGCGAGCCCCCTGGTAAGGACGCGCGGCGGCCTCGGTCCCGGGAAGCTGCCCCGGAGCTGGCGACAGGGGGCGGCGAGGGGAACAACCGGGGGCTGGGGAGGTCCCCGGAGCGCCGCCTCCCCCCGGGGAAGTGCTGCCCCAGGCTCAGAGCCGGACGGCGCCGAGAAGAGGCTCCGGCGTCCTGGGTCAGGGACTCGCCGGTGCCTGCTGGGCCCAGGCGGGCGCGCACCTCGCAGCGGAGAGTACCCCCCGGGGCCACCGTGCACGGGCGCTTTCCTGCGGGACACTCGGTGTCCGCCACGTGCCAGGACCTGGGCTGCAAGTCCTGGGGGAACGTCCGAACCCGAGCCGTGGCCGCATCGCTCCACCGCGTCCAGGACACGGACCAGGGCGCGGAGGGTGAGCCCCGCGCCGGGTCTCCGCGAGCGGCCGGGCGAAGGTTGGCACCAGCCTTCCCGCGGAGCCCCCAGAGACACCTGCAGACTCCCCGTCCGCGCGCCCCATCTTGGGGGGAGGTGATGGGAGGCTTCCGGTCCCTTCTCGAATTCCTTTTTGACTCTCTTCTAACTCCGGGGGGCACTCGATGAGGGGTCCGGGAAAGTTTGTATCTGGAAGGAAGAACAAAAGATCGGCGTGGGCGCGGGGTTCCCCTGGAGGGGCGAGGAGGGTCAGGGGCGCGCGGCGCAGGGCGGCGGGGGCCGCGCAACCCTCCCCCCCGCCTCCCCCCGCCTCGGAATTGGGCGGTGATTGTCTGGGGCTCGGGGCGCCCCTGGCGGCTGCGTTTGGGCCCCCGCGGCCCGCCCGGTAATTGTCGGGATCGCCCCCGCGGGGGCCGCGGTCCCTCCCCACCCGGTGATCGATATTCTATTACTGGCGCCTGCATATCTCCGGCCCGCAGCTTGCAGGTACCGACTTCAAACCCCTTTCCCTGTCTGATCCTAATATTGTTCGATTAAAACTTACCTTTAATAGATGACATCTATTGATTCGGCCCCGCACAAATCTGAAACTCTATTAACACAGCGGGAGAGAGAAGATGGAACAGGGGAATTTCACTTTAAAAGGGGGGGGGAGTTTAATAACTTCTTTTTAATTGCTAGGAGTCCCAGACCACGACGGGCTCGCGGGCCTGGGGGGCGACAGCCCGAGACGCGCTTGACGTCTCGGTGTCTTCACGCACAAAGATCTTAGGGTCCCCCCCGCCCCGCGGCCCAGTCATGTCTCGTTCCTCGAGGCAGGGGTCATTCATTCAAAATTCCCTCCTCGGACGCCTACTAGGTGACAGTGGTGTAAAGGGCGAGGGGTACTGAACCCCTAAACCTCAGTTCCTCGGGGTCGCTGGAGGGGACGTGCTGGAGCGGGGGGACCGCGCGCCGGGGCCGGGCTGGGCGGGGAGGACTCTGCGCTCTCGGGCCGGCCGGGCTGTTTCGGGCTTCCAGTCACCCCCGCTTTCTCCCGCAGACGCGGCGGACCCCGGCGCTGGCGCGGCGTCGCCCCTGGAGGGCTCGGAGGCCGAGGAGGACGAGGACGCGCCCGACGCCCGGCGGGGGCGGCCGGAGCGGGCTGCGCGCCTGCAGGCGGACCCCGCGCGCTCCCCCGAGGCTCCGGGCGCGGCGCTGGCGGCGGGGGGGCGCGGCCCCGGCGGCCCCGCCGGCTCCCCGGGCTCGCCCGGCTCCCCGCGGCCGCGGCGCCGGCGGGTGGAAGCCAGCTGCGCCAAGCCCCGGCGCGCGCGCACCGCCTTCACCTACGAGCAGCTGGTGGCCTTGGAGAACAAGTTCCGGGCCACGCGCTACCTGTCGGTGTGCGAGCGCCTGAACCTCGCGCTGTCGCTCAGCCTCACCGAGACGCAGGTCAAAATTTGGTTCCAGAACCGCAGGACCAAGTGGAAGAAGCAGAACCCGGGCGCCGACGGCGCGGCACAGGCCGGGGGCAGCGCGCCCCAGCCCGGGGCGTCGGGGGCGGCGCCGGGAGGCGGCGGCCGCGCGGGGGGCAGCCCGGGGCCCGCCGGCCCGGGCGCGCTGCCCTTCCAGACTTTCCCCGCCTACTCGGCCGCCAACGTCCTCTTCCCGGCAGCCGCCTCCTTCCCGCTCACGGCCGCCGCCGCGGGGGGCCCCTTCGCGCCCTTTCTGGGGCCCTCCTACCTGACCCCTTTCTATGCCCCGCACCTATGAGCCCGGAGCCCCTCTGGACCGCCACGCTGCCGGGACTCGCGAGGGATGGGCGTCGGCGCAGGTGCGCGCTCTCCTGGTGCGGCTGTCCGCGCGCCCCTTCCCTGCCAGCTGCCCGGAGGCGCCGCCAGAGGGCAGGGAGAGGCCACCTGCGACTGCCACCCGCGCCCCTGCCCGCCGCGCGGACCCCGCGAGTCCACAGGGTCCGCCAAGCAGGCCGAGGCCCTGCCATCTTCAGACGCGTCCGGAGACCGCGGCTGACCTCGGGCCTTCGCGCGTCAGGACCTGGCTCCCCGCCTGCGCCCGGCCGAGGGCTCCCTCGGAGGGTGTGTGGGTTGGCGCGGGCCTGACTCAGCTGGACGCGCCCGAGTGACCCCAGAGCGCCTGCCCGCCCACTGCGCACATCTGGGGTGGAGTCTTCCAAGATTGGGGCCCGCGCGGAGGGTAAGGAGCCTTCCCTTCCCCGGGCTGATCGTGGCCATTTTCATCCTTGGTTATTGGCCGAGTCCTCCCACATGCTGACACAGCCAGGCCCGAGGCACCCCCTGCGGCTGGGAGATGGACTAGTCTTTACGTGTGTAGAGCCACGTTTTTAGATCTTCACTTAGATCTTCAGTTCCTGCACCAGACAGACTCTCCATGGACTGCTCCTCTAGAGGACGGGCCTGTGTTTCTGAGAAGACCCGAGATGCACGCCAGAAAGTGTTAACAACTTTGTACTAGACTTACCTGCTGCCTCTAAATTCTGACAGCAGCTTTGACAAACCCTGGCGATGCCCCCCAAATGCATAAAAATGATAATGAAGGACCCGTGGCCCCACGAAAGTCTGGAAGTCTGAGCGTGAGATGGCCTGTCTTGACTTGCAGTGGGGGGTACTTCTAAAAAGCCCCATCCTGCCAATGGAGCCACCCAGCAATTCCTGGGCACCCAGTTGCAATGGAAGCCCAGCAGGAGGCATCGCCACCGGCACACATTAGGGTCAGGAGTTGGACTACTTTTTAAAAGCACAAACTCACCATTTTAGGGCTTCATCTAAATTCTCATTTGAAATCAATTCTTGTTCTAAACAGTCTCTCCATGATGGCAGGGAAACAAGCAAAAGATGGGGCTTGTTGGGTATGAGGCTACAAATCAGAGCAAAAGGCCTGTTCCTAAGAGATTCAGCTGCAGGAACTTGAATGCAGATGTGCATTCTAACCGCTGCTTTAAAAAAAAAATTCACTTTAAAAATTTGTTCTGTAAAGTTTTTATACTTCATTATTGCCAGCTTTGTTTCAGCTTCTCATCCTTTAGTTTTCTGTGTAACGTGGCTTGTAGCCCACACCTCAGAAACCCAGACGTCCCCAACCATGCCTTGTGTGTTTCATTCCCACCTTTTACTTGCTTACTTGAGTAAGTGAGGAACAGTCTTTGCTATTATTAAAAAATTAAATGTAACCACCTACCCTTGACTTCCTATAAAGTAAAAAAGCATCCTGTTTGGTATTATGAACATATATTATTAAAATCTTGAAATATCTAGTTCTGCTATTAGTGGGATGATAGAAACTATCCCCTCCTGCTTCCAAATTAAATGACGACTTTGTATTCAGTGAGTTATAAGAGTTGGGAATGTGTAATTTCATTGCTACTTGCTAATGAGACTCTTTTCCTTTTATTTCAAAGAAAAGAGTTATTCCCAAACAATGGATCATAACGTTCTAAAAGGCAGTTGATGCCAGAAGAGATTAAAAATGCAGTTACTGTGGTTGAGAAAAATATCGTATTATTCAGTTTGTTGTTGATAAACACACTCCCTCCAGAGCAATTACGTGGTTTCTCAAAAGCAACATTCTCTGGTATGAAAGGAGTGTACAGAGGCAGGATCTGCTACTAAGACCTGAATCTGCGTGAGACACGGGACCCTTCATTCCTGTTTGTGGGTGCAGAATCACAGAGAAAGGAATACCTTTCTCTAACCTAAGGAACTAACGCTCAGCCCAGGGTCACATCTCTACTTAAGAACTGAGCCTCTAACCTTGGTCTGATAACTTCAGGGAGATTTACGCTTTACATGGGGATGCCAATCACATAAAATGTTTGGTGAAAAAGAATTTCTAGATGACCTGAGAGCTGTTTTGGCATTTCGTACTGTGGGAAAGTCAGTATCGGACAGGAGGTGTACCCCAGTGCTCCCCCTGCCTTGGGCCCTCCCTCCCTTGCTGCCTTTATTCCTGCCACAAATTCATATCCAGCACCCATTCTAGATGGGGTTTGCTAAGCTCATGGGGTCCCAGGCATCAGGAAGATTAGAGTGTGTCTGTTTCGGTCTCTTCCTAGAGGAAGGTGTACAGGGAGAAGAGGTGGTCCTTTACTCCCTCCCTCCATCACTTACTGGCCCCTCCATCTTGAACTAACCTACTGATTTTTCCACGCCTCTTAGAAGCACATAGTGTGCACTCAGGAAACGGTGAGGTTCTTCCTGCCAATTTATAAGTGATGTATTTAGTAACCCCTGGATTTGGAACCGGCTCCAAAGAGGAGACTTTTAAATAAATGGCTCTCCCGGGCAGCTGCTGGTCACATGGCGAGATGTCACCTGGCCAAGAACATTGGGTCCAGTCTGCACGAAAGGAGGAGCCGGCAATCTTATAAAGCTATTTATTTTTAAAAAATCCCTTCTTTTCATGTGACCTGTTTTCTTTCATGTTTAATGAATACGTTTACAAATGTAACTTTGTTTCTAACTTTGATGTTACTTTGTTTCTAAATAACTTTCAGCTTCTAAGGTAGAAGAAGCTGAATCTGGGGAACACTTTCCCAAGTCCAGGCTATAGGGTCTGAAGGTACCACAGGGCCTCCCTGGTGGCCTAGGGGTTAAGCCTCAGTGCTATCACCACTAAGGCCTGAGTTGGATCCCAGGCCAATGTATTTCTGTAAAATCTGCCTGTTCTGCTCCCCACTCTGTCTGATGAATCCTCTCACCTCCTGTACCTCTAGCCTAAACCCCAGTTCTTGTATGCATAAATAAATTTTAAAAATCTTAAAAAAAAAAAAAAGGAGACGCTAATATAAAAGATAAGGGGTGGGGGCAGAAGGTGTGTGGGTGTGGACCATAGGGCTGGATGGGGCAGGAGGAAGACATCTTAAGATGTACTTCCTTGCTTTGATTTGTAAATGAAGTCATTGTATTAATATTTATAAAACAAAAAAGTCACTGGAGGGAGAAAATGCCAAAGATAAGGAATTCTGTAGTGTCAGTTTATCAAAAAGAAAGAACTGATAATTTATGTCATTTTTTTTTTAAAGAATTATTTATCCATGTACACAAGAGCTGGAACACAGACCAGAGATGCAGGGGGTGAGAGGATTCACCAGAGACAGAGTGGGGCGCAGAACAGGCAGATCTACTGAAATACACTGCTGAGGGGAGCAGCGGGGAGACAGGAGAGGTCTGCTGCACCCTGTGGGTAGCCTCATGGTTGGCCAAGCATCGAACTTGTGCTGCTGTGGTTGTGAATATCTTCACAGTGCTGTGCTTAACCCCTTGAGCCACCAGGGAGGCCCAATTTATGTAATTTGAAGGCTTCCAAAGTTCCTTCTAGAATCAATCTTTGGAAATTGAGAGAATTAAAACTGTCTTGGGACCATCTGGGCAGTGGGGAACTGGGGAAGCTGGATTTATCTATCTCAAACTGTTATAGGACAGGGAGAGGAGCAGCCCAAACCCCGCAAACCTGCCTATTCTATTTTTTTTTTTTAATAGAGGCCTGCTTTATTTATTTATTTATTTGTTTGTTTGTTTTGTTTATACATGCACTGGGTACAGTCAGAAGCGCGGGAGGGTGAGAGAATTCACCAGAGCCAGAGTGGGGAGCAGAGCAGGCAGAAGGACCCAAGTACACTGCTGAGGGGAGCAGTGGGCAGCAGGAGAGGTCTGCGCGCCATGCGGGACCCTCCTCCTGTGGCCAGGGAGCAGCTGGGGATCGAACCGGTGTCGCAGAGGCTGCAGGCAGCTTCGCAACCCAGCGCTCAACCACTGCGCCACTGGAGAGGCCCAAACCTGCCTATTCTAAATGGGTTCTGCCATCCGCCGCATCAACACAAAACATATGAGACTTTAATGGGAAGGAACTTTAATTAGGAAACAATACAGGAAAGGCAAAGAATCTAGTTTCTAAATGAAGCACCCAAAGTTACCCGTCCCCTCGTGGGTAAAAGTCCATCCATATGGGATCAGTCCAGAGCAAGGCCCCAAAGCCTGCCACAAGTCTAAAGCATCTTCCAGTGGGGACCCAACAGAAAAGGGTCAGAAACAACCAGACAAGCCCGGAAGGAAAAGAGCAAAATCAACATCAAGATAAAAGCTGCCACTGTCACCTCCCCACAGGTCTCACCCACATCTGTGTCACCCCGTCCACGACCAAAAGACAAGCGCAGTTTCTTCACGTGTCTCTCGGCTCCATGCGCCTCCTCCAGGTCTCCTGGCTCCATCCTGCTTCCTTCCTCAGTCTCTTCTGCAGCTTCTCCTCTTCCTGCTCAGCTCCACCCTCCCTTGGGTGGGGCAGGGAAACTCCCCCTTTCCTGGGGACCACCCTGTTACAAAACTTCCTTTAGAAAATTAATACAGAAGGGAAGTCTTGTTACCAACTGCAAGAGGGTCAGTTCAGAAGGAAGTTCCTGACAAGTAATCAGGCCCAACTGGACTTCCTAACTCCAAGGAACAGTGGAGAAAACTCTAGGGCAGCTGTGTGGTGGACTAGAGTGAGCTTCTGAGCTATCTGTGTGACACTTCACGGCTAAATAAAAATTAATTCAGCAAATCCTAGGGATAGAACATACTAGTGCCTTTGGAGTAAAATAATAATTTATTTAGATTTTAGTAGAAATCTCTAAAATAGGATCCAAGGCCAGGAGACGACCATAAGGACTTGCAGAAGAGACTGTATTCGTTTTTGTAAATAAAAATAATCAGGCCACCATGTTTTGAGTCTCTGGGTGGCTTAGAGGTGACTGGATCTTTTCGAGTGTCACATCTAGTGG